AACAATGGCAATCAGTATAGAGTGGAAGAAAGTATGATACGAAACTAACATTACTTTGACGTTATGTAAAATTTCGTCGATTCTAACATTGCGAGAACGGCCACCAAATTAAATGTATCGCGAAGGCGTTGCACGTAGACACACTGATCGATCGAGCAGATTTCGTTAACGTTTCCCCGTGAAACATGCGAGGAGAAGTTTCAGACTTCGATTACTTTCACTGGTCACGAAAATTTATACGCGTTTCGTATTCACTGAAAGAAAAGCGAACAAAAATATTCAACACTTGTATAGATACAAATAGCTTGAAAGAACTTCTACTGACTTCTTTGTAGAAAGCTTGTGTGATTGTAGAAATTTTCATCGTGCATTTGATGAGAGAGTATTATCTAATATTTAAAATGATTTTACGCAAAAGCCTCAAATGGTCAGGTCAACAATCTTCAGAAGAATTTGGTACTCTGAATACGATGCTGTGGAGGAATATTAATGATTGATAGCAATCGTATAACAATTAGAAAATAATTTCATTCCTACGTTACGAGAAAAGAGACATGTATTAAAAATGTTTATCTTTATTTTCCAGGGAATACTTGATAAGTATGTCAATGAACATTAACATGAACTTGAATCTGAAATTCACGCCGCTGGTTTGGCGCCTTTTCTTCTGCTATGCCCACCAGAAGGTTTCGGCTTTGGCGGTGGATTTTCCAAGGCGTCCAGCTCCTCGTCAGTTAGTTGACCTTTGTACCAGTCTTTGCTGAAATTTCACCGAAGCATAAAGAATGTGTTGAACAATTTCTGACTAACTGTTATGTTACCGTGCCGTACCATTTTATATTAATATAATTATATTTGTACCGTACCATTCGGGTATCTTCCTCGCCCAGTCACATTTCCCAGTACGTTCGTCGAAAGCTTGGCCTAATTTGCAACCGCTTCTTCTAGGTATCTCGCCGTTCACACACACGTAGAAATACTGGCAGTCTTCGGTGTCGGGATACCGCGGATGGGTAGCAGCGACAGACTCGTCCACTTTGGGGCACGTGAAGTTAAATAATTCCCTGGAACCGCAACCTTTCTTCTGCGCCTCGTCCGGCCAATTGCAGATGCCTGTTTTCTCCGAGAAGACCAGGCCATCCGGGCATGTGATCATATTAAACTTTCCTTCGACGCAGTAATAGAATGTATTACATATTCTCGGATCCTCGTGAGCGAAGTAACCGTGCATTCTCGGACAGTGTGGCGAAGGTTGTGGCTTCTCTGTGGAGGGACGAATTTATTCATAACTGACGTTGAAGTATAAACGATATTGCAAAGTACTTACGTAATTTTGGCCTCTTGGTGCAATCAATCCCGAAGGGCAGGTCGCACTTCTCGTGTTGAGGGCTAAAGTCATTGAACACAAGGCCATCTGGACATAATTTCTCGATAACTTTGCCATCTCGACAGTCGTAATATTTGTCACATTGTTCCGCGTCCGGGAAGTAGCCGTTAGGTTCGGGACATTGATCCGGAAGCTCTTCCTCGTCCTCGTATTCCTCTTGCTCCTGCCCTCGTGTAGGTGGCTGCTTTTTTTGCAACGTTGGCAGAGCCACTTTCCTACGATTCTGCTCGAGCGCCTCTTGCTTCCTCGTCAGGGCGGTGACAACGCCTGGAACACGTTCGATTGTTACGACTTCGTCTCAGAATGTAGTCGAGTCTTTTCTTCAATCGCGCGCCTCTTGGCAGAAAAAAAGAAAAAAAATAAATAAATAAATAAATAAATTTCCCTTTCTGGTTTCCCTCGAATCTCGATATTATTTGGCAATCAAATTCTTCCTCTGCGGGAAACTGTACATGAATTTGAATAAAAAAAAAAAAAAAAAAAAAAAAAAAAAAAGAATACAACGAGAGGATAAAAAAACGGTGAATGGCAAGAGAGGATCGACTTATTTTCAAGGCAGCGCGACGCCTTGCGTCCCTGAATATACGCCAGTAGTACCGTAAACGCCGTGCCGGTCGACCTCGCGAGCAGAAGAAAGCGAGAAAGTGCCCGGGCACTCGGTGCGTGTCTGCTCTTGGTCGGAACTGAAATGTCGTTTAATCGCCTCGGACCTGTTCACTTTCCAACACTCTGTACAGCCTTCGAACACGTTTTAACTGATTTTACTAGGCAAGAGGAATTTTATATAAAAAAAAAAAAAAAGAGAGAAAAAAAGTTTTAGCTGAGCGATATCGATCTCCGTCGATTTCTCCGTCAAATTTTAAATCTGTTGAAATCAAACTTTCCATACGACACTGATTTCCCAACAACAAACGATGGCGTAAGTTGTTTCGTAGTTAGATAGAAATTACACGTCTACGTGTCAATCAAATAATGAATGAATCGTACGGATTCGAATGATATCATTGGATCAATATGCATGCATATTAAGGCTACAACTTATGTGATCAGCAGTAGTCTGTGAGAAGTAAGACAATACCACGGTTAAAGGTCACTAGTCAAACTGGGTATCGTTTTAACAGTTATTGCCGAGCTGTCCCTTTCATTTTACAATGAAGTCCTTCAAAAAGTGCAAGTACTTTTTCCTAAGTTTACGTAGGAGCTTCTCTGGATGGATGCGACTTATGTCTGCTAAGAAACTAGAAAGTTTAAACGAGCGGAAACGCTTGAAAAGATGAAGATTGAAACGTTGCTTGAACGAAAGGATGACTCACCGAGACAGATCAGTAGATATAATACCTCCGTCTTCATCCTGACGGAGGTCGTGAATGTGCGGAATAAACGTATGCTCTCTTCGTCTTGTATCAGAATCAAGTCACAGCTCTTCGTACGTGAAGGAATTGATGACTAGAGACTACTGGATCGCATCGAGAGGGTCCCACAGTCTTATATGCATCCCCCACTTTCCCATCCACGAGGTTACAACACTGGAATCTCGACGTAGAACCAAAAGGAAACCACTGCTCTTCTGCATACTCGCGTCGATTAAGTATACCCCTGGTGTCCTCTCTATCGATTCTATTTTTATTTCATTTCATCTGCCGCATGTATACACTCTGAAATGTTTTCTCTTTCTTCTTTTAAATCTGTTCTGTTCATACCATCAAAATTGGCTTGGCAAATTGAATTATGTTGCGTTCGTTTTGTGAATTTAGTAACAGGTCTCACGGCCCCACCATCCCTCGGGATTCCTTCTAATCCAAAGCTTCCTAAGCTCGTCGTAAGTGAGGATAATCACGGCGTACGGTACACCAGGTAACCACCATTCGAAAATCAATGGATAAGTTCTAAGGATCTCGTCCATGTGAGGAGCGTAGCAAACGATGCAGGCTACCGTTATCTCGAATATCATTCCAAAATTAAGTACCCAATTGTTCATGCCTTGATCGAAGATGGAGATGCGACGAGTTTTGCAGATCATCACGTCGGCAACTTGGACAATGACTATACTGACGAAGAAAGCTGTATGGCAGGTATATTCGAGGATCTTTCGTTGCTCGTACGTCCATTCCTGGCCGTAACAATCTTCCAAGTCGTTCACCACGATACTGTCCCACGACGATCGTAAATTTAGCAATTTATACGGTAGAAAACCATGTTCTGCCATCAGCACGAAATACGCGAAGAAACCGGCACAAGCTTCGATTATGCCAATCTGTCCGTAAGCCGTGAAGAGTAACCGATGGCTGACCAGATGATCTTTCAATGGAACTCTCGGCTTCCTACGATTCAGGATT